TGTGTGTGTGTGTGTGTGTGTGTGTGTGTGTGTGTGAACATGTCGATATATGTGTTTATTTTTTATGTTTTTCTACATTATTTGTTTTCTAACTATAAGCACGGGGATTGGCTGGGCACTAGGAAAGAAAATGGTTTGTAGCAAGCTTGATTGTATCCGCTTTCCACTTTTGCAGGGCGCATTACAATGTATATCTGCAGAGCATTGCTGTTAATGGACAGTTGGTGCCTGTTGATCCATCAGTGTTTGCGACATCTGGCAATCGAGGAACTATTGTGGATTCTGGTACAACTTTGGCTTATATTGCCACAGAAGCTTATGATCCCTTTGTCAATGCTGTAAGTTCCTACATTTTGCCAATTTATTTACTCCCTCCGTCTCAACTTGAATGTCCAATTGCTCTCTTTGTCTATACCAAAATTATATCCACATCTCCTAAATATAAAAACTGACCACATAACAACAAGAACAACTACGCCTGTTGGGGTTGGCGAAAAAGGGCAGATAACTGTTGATCAAAACCCCTGAAAAATGTTTTATCATTCATCTGCAGATAACTGCTGCTGTTTCACCATCAGTTAGGCCAATCATCTCACGAGGAAAACCGTGCTTTCTAGTGTCCTCGAGGTTCATCCTTGTATAATTCAATAGATATTTACTTTGAGCTTTTAATGACAAAAATGTCTTTACCCAACTGCTTTGGTGACTCGAATATGACACCCTGTTTTGTTCTGAAAACAGCATAGCAGAGATATTTCCCCCAGTTTCTCTAAACTTTGATGGTGGTGCATCGATGGCTTTAAGACCATCAGACTACCTTGTGCATATGGGCTTTGTCGTGAGTACCAGAATCTGTATTGTGTTTGAATGTCTTCTTGAAGTCTCATCTGAGACTATATCAACAATGCTATATGCAGCACTATTGTCTTTTTGATGAACTACAAAGCTAAGTGACTCAATTGAATGTTTCTAACAGGAAGGTGCTGCTATGTGGTGCATCGGCTTTGAAAAACAGGATCAAGGTGTAACAATTTTAGGAGGTTGGTTCCTTGTTTACTACAATATTTATGCCTCAACCCCAAGTGGGTTCGCTGGTGTATTTATCAACATATCTTCTAGGACTATGGTTACATCTAATATCTGCTGCATCATTACGTGTGCTAGCGTCCTTAATGGGTGCTTAAGCACTCCATCACTCAAACCATCTAAAAAGGACCTAACTATACCTTGTCCTGTATTAATTTAAAAAAAAATATAACTTGGCGAGTGTCTGCCTAGATGGAATGTACCTTAGTGATTGCATGCTTAGATAAAGTCATCATTCCTGCAGATATCGATGTTGATGAAACACGGCCATCCATTTTCTATTAGAATATTAGGTCATTGATTTGCAATTTGAAAATTGTAGCTTGAAGATTGCAGTCCCTTTGTCTTTTCTAATTTTGCATCCGTTCTTTTATTGTGATTGACCAGAGGATAGGTATACTTGTAGTACCAGTAATTCGGTTAGATATGTTCCGTAGCGTGCCAAGGAATTTATATTTCCTGTTTTGCCTAGTTTTTCGAAGTTTATGTCAAAGTTACTTGCTTTGGATTCCGTGCGTGGGACAACTATATATCTTGTAGAGGCAGTGATTGTTACTTTGATGTTGAAAGACAGCAGAGGGTGGAATTCATAGAAAGTTAATACGTGGAAAGGGGTGTTAGACTGGATACATGACTGCAGTCCTAAATCAAGGTTGGAGTTGCATTTAATATGGCTATTCCTAAAGGCTAAAAGACACAGTCTCATCAAGATTGTATGTTGAGAACAAGTCTACGAGAGTGCGCTCTGACTGTTCTCAGAGATAGGTGCCTCAGACTCTAGGGATTAAGCTAACTACGTGTTTTGAGTGGTGTTTTGTTCTTTCTTTTCCTTTTTCACTGCTGGCTAACACAACTTGAAGACTTGAATTCCAAACTGCTTCAAGTTTTAGGTCTATTATTCATGCCTTCTAACTTCTTAGAGTGTTGGTTCCCTAGTCCTCTTTTTTTTCCAACTCGTGCATGCACGCTCATGCCCGTATACGTACATGCAAGACATCTACAGTTGTAAACACAATTTATGACCAAATATTAACGGAAAGGTATTAATCCCTTTCTATTTCTTGTTTGTGTGTGTATGTGTAAACCAAGCACAATGTTATGACCAACATTAAGTGAAGAGAATTAATCTTCTTTTCTTTTGGCCCATGTCCGTGTATTGTATGCGCATTGAATGTGTGAGCCTTTCCTTGTTTATCCTGGTTATGAGTTAATCGGTAGCATACATGGTGAGGTTTCAGGATGCATGATAGTTGCAGATGATAGTGTGAATTAACAAAATTAGTCAAAAGCAGCTCCATGGTGAAACACTTAGCAAGGTTTTGGAATAAGTGGAAACAAGATACTATCCAGGCAATGCAAGTTTACTCCGCCTAAAAAGTATTAAGGTGAAATGATATTAGATTATTATGGTTCCTAAATGCTGGCAGTCAAGTTATTTAAGCTCAAATCTTCCAGGAGAATAGAGAAATGTCGTGGTAGATGAGGAAGGAACACATAGAACTAAAATATGCTGGTTGACATGAAAGAGTGTTGCATGAGTGTTATTAGACAGAAAGATTCCTAGAAAATTGAAATATAAGTTAGTATAACGGTTGTGAGATCAACAATAATATGTGAGAGTGAACATTACATGTCCGCTAATTGAATATCATAAAAATGCGGATGTAAAGATGGTTGTGCAATCATATAAGATTGAACATGATTAGAAACAATCACTTTTGTTGAAGGGTGCAAGTAGGGCACATATAGAGCATGAAAAGGACGTCACATGAGATGGTTTGGCCATATCCTATTAGTCCGCCATATGAACCGGTTATTAAGTGTGGCAATATTGTGTTTAAAGTGCTGAAAGGAACGAGGTAGACTGATGACTACATTCAAAAATTTGTCTCAAATGACTTAGAATCTCATGGAGTCAATACGGCTTGAACTATAAACAAAACCTTATGGAAGAAATGGATCCATATAGGCAATACTAACTAGTTGAAATAAGGCTTACTTGATTTTACTCTACTGGGTGCAGTATTTGTCAGGAGTCTTTATAATTTGGTTAGAGACATGTTTGTAAGTGTTGGTATAAGTTAGAGATTTAGAGAACCTCTAGATTTAAGAGAACCCCTTGTCTTAAAAAGATTATGTACTATCGGAGTGAATTATTTCAAAAAAAGAAGATTATTTACTATCAGAGTGAATTGGGTTCAAATAGAGCAGAATGGCCCCAAATGATATTAGACCTCAACTAGTTTGGGACAGAAGTGTAGTTGATTTATTGATATGCATCTTATGTGCAAATTTTATTTTAGTCATGCGTGTGCCCTTGAGCTCCTTCCTCTTCCCTCTTCCCTCCTAGTCATTCTACTAAATTTGGCTATTCAATTAGTTCTGGCTATGCTTTGGCATTTGAACCATGTATTCCTTGTCAGTTGACTTATTGCATTGCTCTGCATCTTCATTTGTCGAGTATTCTGGATCCATAGATAAACAAGAATCTAGGTTGGTCTAACTGTATTTTTCTTGATTTTCAGATCTTGTTCTGAAAGATAAGATCTTTGTGTATGACTTAGCTCGGCAAAGGATTGGATGGGCAGATTATGATTGTAAGTACCTCTTTTCAAAAATGAAGTCAACATTTGCTTTTGTCTCTATTTTGCCCCCTTTTCTTTTGGGGTGGGGAGGGGGTTGTTTGTTGTGACATGACTTACTTCTTCCCTCTGATTTTCTCTCTATTTTTAATGGTTTTCATGATTAATGTTTTTATTATAGGTTCATCATCTGTGAATGTGTCTATAACCTCTGGCAAGGATGAATTTATCAATGCTGGACAGTTAAGCGTGAACCGTGCATCAGGCAGTTTGCTGTTCAATCCGCGGCACACTAGAACTATATTTCATCTGCTATCGTTGGTTCTGATGATTGGTTCCCCATTTTTAACTTAATTCAGTTTTGACTTGCCATTTTTCGTTTGGTAATATGCTTTGCCGATTAATATTACTCTAGTTGGCTAGCAATTGTGTCATTCTGATTCCCTTACTAGGTTTTCCACTGAGCTGATTGAGGCTTCTACCTTTCTTCTGACCTCGAAAAGGTTTGTCCTTAGATGTCTCTCTCGCACGTGACTAGGAGAGGCCTCTACCTTCCTTCTGACCTCGAAGAGATTTTTCCTTTAGATGTCTCTACAGTGAATTGCCATGTAAATAACGTCTTAGTTAAGGATGGCGAAGTGAAGACGCGTAACTAGAGGCAAGATGAAAGCAATTTGTGCTCTTGCTTCGGCCTTCGAGTTGGTCAAGCTGTTGTAGAAGGTAAAAATTTTGAAGGCCCGGGCTTCTTGTAAAGCACTAGTTTCTGTATGCACATTGCATCATTGTAAAAGCAATTAGCCGTTGTAAGCATTGCTGCTTGTTAAATTTTCATCCTTATTTCTTGTCAGATTCTGTCTTATTGGCAGTGTAACACATTTAAAATGTTTCGGTATAATGAAAAGTGTGTACTATATGAATGTCCTCTCTCCACCCCCACAAACATGAATAGATACTTTTTCATTAGACTATTAGTGCATGTTCTTATGAGGATTCCAATCTTATATAACTTTAGTGACTCTTAACTGATATCTTTTTTCTTCTTGAAACACTTCTTCCGATCCAATCTTTCTGCAAATTCCCCTCAACGGTGTAACTTATAGTACTTTTTGAATAGTAATGTTTGTGGAAATTCAGCTTCTTCATTAGCTTCTGTTGAAGACTTTTGAATGCTACCGTTGTCCATCTTGTTGCTCATCAAATGAATAATGACTAGGGAAAGAAGAAACAAAGTTGGGGCAAAAATAAAGGAGAAGGAAAGTTAAAAGACCAAGAGCCTTCTATTAATAATCTAAATCCTAAATTTTCTCATCCTCCCTTTATTATTCCCTCCGTCTATTTTTACTTGTCCGCTATACAACAACAACAACAACCTAGAAAAATCTCACTAATGGGGTCTGGGGAGGGTAGTGAGTACGCAGACCTTACTCCTACCCCGAAGGAGTAGAGAGGCTGTTTCCGAAAGACCCTCGGCTCAAAAAAATAAAAAGACAAAAGGACAAAAAGGAGACAATATTAGTATCACAACAACAATCATATGATAAATAGAAATACCATGAAATCCAGAAGAAGGATACAAAGCAAAGGGAGACAATATTAGTAAATATTAGTATCACCACAACAATCATAAGAACAATAGGAACACCATGAAATCTAGAAGAAAGATGCAAAGAAAAAGCGATAGCTAGTAAATAGGACATGCACTGAAAAGCGAAATAGTAAGTCACAACATTGCTACTAGCTATCTTAGACAAAACCCCTACATGGCTAGTCCCACAATGGTACGAAGTAAGCCACGACTCAACTACCTCCTAACCTACAACCCTAATACTCGACCTCCACATCTTTCTATCTAGTGTCATGTCCTCGGAAATCTGGAGTCTTCGCCATATCCTGCCTGATCACCTCTCCCCAATACTTCTTAGGCTGCCCTCTACCTCACCCCTCCCCAATGCTCACACCTCCGTACCGGAGCATCTAGGCTTCTCCTCTGAACATGTCCAAACCATCTAAGCCTCACTTCCCGCATTTTCTCATCAATGGGAGCCACATGCACCTTCTCCCGAATATCATCATTCCTAATCTTATCTATCCTAGTGTGCCCGCACATCCACCGCAACATCCTCATTTCTGCTACTTTCATCTTCTGGATATGTGAGTTCTTAACGGGCCAACACTCAGCCCCATACATCATGGCCGGTCTAACCACCGCTTTATAAAACTTACCTTTGAGTATCGGTGGCACTCTCTTGTCACACAGGACTCCAGATGCTAACCTCCACTTCATCCATCCTACCCCAATACGGTGTGTGACATCCTCGTCGATCTCCCCTCCCCCCTGGATAACCGAACCAAGGTACTTGAAGCTGCCTCTACTCGGGATGACCTGCGAATCAAGCCTCACATCCACGCCCTCTTCCCCTGGCTCAGCGCTGAACTTACACTCCAGGTATTCCGTCTTCGTCCTGCTCAGCTTGAAACCCTTAGACTCAAGAGCCTGTCTCCAAACCTCCAGCCTCTCGTTAACACCGGCTCGCGACTCATCAATCAGAACTATGTCATCGGCGAATAGCATGCACCATGGCACATCCCCTTGAATATGGTGTGTTAACGCGTCCATCACCAGGGCGAATAAGAACAGGCTGAGCGCAGAACCTTGGTGTAACCCCATTACAACCGGAAAATGCTCAGAGTAGCCTCCTACTGTCCTAACCCGAATCTTAGCCCCATCATACATGTCCTTAATCGCCATAATATACGGAACCGACACACCTTTTGCCTCCAGGCATCTCCACAGAATTTCTCTAGGAACCTTGTCATACGCTTTCTCTAGGTCAATAAACACCATGTGCAGATCCTTCTTCCTCTCTCTGTATAGTTCCACCAACCTTCTAACAAGGTGTATAGCTTCTGTAGTCGAACGACCCGGCATGAACCCGAACTGGTTGTCGGATACAGACACTGTCATCCTCACCCTCGCTTCAACCACCCTCTCCCACACTTTCATGGTATGACTCAGTAATTTGATACCCCTATAATTGTTACAACTCTGGATATCACCTTTGTTCTTATACAATGGAACCACCGTACTCCACCTCCACTCATCCGGCATCCTCTCCCCCTTAAAAATAATATTAAACAACCTAGTCAACCACTCCAAACCTGCTCTCCCCACACACTTCCAAAATTCCACCGGAATCTCGTCTGGCCCGGTCGCTCTGCCCCTACTCATCTTACGCATAGCTCCCACGATCTCCTCAACCTCGATACGCCTGCAGTACCCAAAGTCACGGTGACTCTCGGAATGCTCCAATTCGCCTAGCACAATATCCTGATCCCTTTCTTCATTCAAAAGTTTATGAAAGTAAGTTTGCCATCTCCTCTTAATCTGGGCATCTTCCATCAATACTCTACCATCTTCCATCAATACTTGTCCGCTATACTAAAAAAAAATTACTTAACCAAGAGATAATTTATCATTTTACATGTTTTACTCTTATTATTAAGTACTACTAATCATTTTCAATTTATTTAATTAGAGGTGATAGTAAAGTTATCATTTTATTAATTGCTTAAAGGGTGCCTCGTCAAACATGAATAAATCAAAATAGACGGAGAGTATTTCAAAGTTTTGTTAGTTACAGATAGATTATGTGTATATATACCGGCCATGCTTTCTTTTACATAAGGTGCATACCTTCGATCTGATGATTAAAATATAGCTTCGAACATAAAAATTGAAAGAAGGCAAGCCTAGAAGTGACTTTCGAGTTTCTTATCTGGTAAAATCTGAAACGGAACTTATACCCAAAGATAGCAACAATTAAAAAATCAACTTTTTGGCGTTAAATAAGGATTTTGCAACTTTGAATGAGTGCGATCAGGGAATTCATTCCAACGTCAATTCTGCCCTTTGTCCATATAAAACCATGAATCTTAGGTTCCAATAATTGAGCATTACATTGGAAAAGGTTTATCCAGAATATAGCATGATGGAAAGCCCTATATTTTTTACCATT